CGCTCATCTGGCATACAACTTAGACTTTCACAATTGAAGATTTGTCTATTTCGTTCAATTCAATAATAGCAATTTTGCCGTCGAATTTGATCTGCTCGATATCTCCGCTTTGCCATTTATTTCAAGTACCTTTTCTTAATATTCCGCTCATCTGGCATACAACTTAGACTTTCACAATTGAAGATTTGTCTATTTCGTTCAATTCACCAATAGCAATTTTGCCGTCGAATTTGACCTGCTCGAAATCTCTGCTTTGCCATTTATTTCAAATACCTTTTTCTAAATATTCCGCTGATCTGGCATACAACTTAGACTTTTGGTTATATAGTTTTTCAAATAATGCATTTTGTTGGATTTGATCCACCCAAGAACTACTTCGACATCTTCTGCTCTATCAGTGCTGTTGGCATTATTTGTTTTCACTTACATCCAATCTTACTCACAATTATTACACAAAATAATTCAAAAAAACGATTCTATTCTTATCTGTTTTCCTTCTAGCAGAACTTGATTTATCTTTTAAGATAAATTTTTAAGATAGATCTTTTAAGACAAAAATTTTCAATTCAAAAAAGCTTTCAAATCTCTAAAACATTTTTGGTTGATCAGATTTGAGGGAGATTTTGTATTTTTCTTATCTGGACTTCACGCTAAACTTTGTAAAGATTATTTTCTGAAATCTAGCATTTTTCATTTTTTTTACTTTAACAGAAATTGTATTTTGGTTACCGTATTTACTCGAATAGAAGACCGGTCTTCTATTCGAGTCTTCTATTTTTCAATCACCCCCTAGACCCCGTCTTCTATTCGAGACGGTCTTATAATCGAGGCCGATCTTCTATTCGAGTAAATACGGTAAGTTTAGGGTAAATTGAAATTGCCGAGGACTGCGGAGACTTTCACTTTTTCAGATCTGGAGCTCATTCAAAACCTTTCAATGATTAGATTTTTTTCAAAACTGTTTAATTGCATTTTGTATTTTTGTCTAGGAATTGTCTATAAAGATAAATGTAAATTTTCTTTGACTCAATATTTCTTTGATTACACGAGTGATTTCTTGGGGTAGGCTAGTTTCTGCAACTTTTTTTGCGCAATAGGGTCATTTGCGCAACTGGGTCGTTTGCGCAACTCGCCATAACTTTGTTCTGAGTGGGCCAATCTTTATGATTTTGATTTCATTTTGTTGCACTTATTGAGATCTAGAAAATGAGACCAAAATCATAAAGATTAGCCAACTTAGAAGAAAGTTATGGCGAGTTGCGCAAATGATCCTGTTGCGCAAAAAAAGTTGCGGAAACTGGCCTACGCCGATTTCTTTTCCCGAAATATTTGCACATTTTCTTTTTTGTTTTCTTTTTTTGTATTTCTTTTTTCTATTTCTTTTTTGTCTTTCTTTTTTGTCTTCTTTTTTGTATTTCTTCTGATTGCTCCGTTCAAGGACTTCCTTTTTTTTGCGAGCGAATATAGTACAGAAAAGGGAAAAGACAAGGCCGTGTACATCATTTTTGGAGAAAAAAAAAAAAAAGGAGAGATTTCTAGTTGACAAGAAAGAAGATTTCTTTTTGATTTCAAAAAAGAAATGGCCTTCATCCAAAAGAAAGAGAAAGAAAGAGATAAATATTCTTAAGGAATATAGCCGCAATGGACTGAGATTAATGCCTAAATTGTGCTTTTTCTTTTGCTGCACTTTGCGCGTTCCACTCGCCTTTAATCCGCTTTCGAAAACGTGTTCAACTTTTTTTTTTTGACTACAACAATCTCTTATCTGAATAGCACCCTAAATTTTGGGAGACAGTGATCGGTTATCTAGATGTTATATTAGATTTTGGTTACAGTACCCTAACGTCTAAAAAATTTGTCTTAAAATTTGTCTTAAGATTGTGTCTTAAGATCGTCTAAAATGTGTCTTAAGATTACGGTAGTCGAGAAAAACAAAAGCCAATTGGTAGTCAACTGGTTTAAAATGCTCCAAATGCTATAGTAAGCCTGTATCTTTTAAAGATACGATAATCGATAATATTGGACTATGACAATACCGCACAGCGATTTGCGCATACGTGGAAAAACATCTTTTGCGCACAATAGCTGCTAACTTTCGCTAAAAATCTTTTGCGCTAAAAGTTGCACCAAATGACCCACATTGCTTCGATTGAGCTCAAATTTTTACAGCATTTTGCACTCGCCTATGCCCATCTACTGGAAAAGTTTCAGCTTGATAGCTTCACTGCAAAAATTTTTAGAGTGACTTCAATTTTTTGTGGGCAAAAAGAGGCAAAGACGCAAAAAAAGACGTCATTTGCCCACAAAAGAAACAAATAATGGCTTCCCAATTCTTTTTTGCAGTGAAGCTATCAAGCTGAAACTTTTACAGTAGATGGGCATAGGCGAGTGCAAAATGCTGTAAAAATTGGAGCTCAATCGAAGCAATGTGGGTCATTTGGTGCAACTTTTAGCGTTTAAAGTTACTGCGCAAAAGATTTTTCCACGAGTGATGCGCAAATGGTGTATTGTCATAGTTCCGATAAGATTATGGTCGTTTTGAAATAAAAAAACCCCCCCAGCTGTTTTCTTCGCTTCTTTTCCCTTTTCTCTGTGAAAACAACGCGACACAACTCTATTGCGCAAATTTCCAGCCTTTTTCCTTTCCCCATTTGAATTCACCTTTTTTTATGCCTTTAAAACTGTAACTGTATGCTGTATGCCTTTTTTTTTTCCTTTAAAACTGTTTTTATGCCTTTCTCCACTTTCATACATTATTTTTCATCGTTTTTTGATATTCGGAAAAATTTTAATCATTTTAAAGTCAACGTAAAATTTTCCTTCTCAAAAAGATTCAATTTAGAACAAATTCTTGGGGGTGGGACAAATGCGACCTTTTTTTGCTGGAAAAGGCCTTAGGAAAGGTCGTAGAGCTTCAAAAATGTTTCCATAGAAGGGTATCGTATGCGTAGATTCCGAATTTCGACAAATCAGACCTCGCTGACACGTCAAATTTGGGCGGAAAAGCGTTAAGTTGCATAGTTTTTGCCTTTTACCCCAAATTTGACGTGTCAGCGAGGTCTGATTTGGCGAAATTCGGAATCTACGCATACGATTCCCTTCTATGAAAACATTTTTGAAGCTCTACGACCTTTCCTAAGGCCTTTTCCAGCAAAAAAAGGTGCGCAAATGTCCAGGTGCGCAAAAAAAAGGTCGCATTTGTCCCACCCCCCAAATTCTTTTCATTTACCGTCGTTTCTCGAGGCCTAATGTTATGGTCTTTTAAAATTTTGCTATGAAAAAAGGCATTGCTGTTTATTTCTTTAAAAGTCTTGCCTCATTCCGGACAATCTTTTATGCTTTACCTTTGTTTGTGCAAAATTTCTCCAAGACTTGGCCTTTTTTTTCGAAATCAACCGAAAAAATAGCTTGTCATCGCATCGAAAAGAATATTGAGATCTATAACTTTTTTTTCCACCGATAAGTGAATGTATTATTCCTCTTCGAATAGCATTGCCATCTGCTAATTTCCTAGCATTTTCTTCTAAATCCATGACACTTTTCTAGGATCGGATCTCTTTTTCACTGCTATTATTACCCTTTACATCGATAGTCGTTAAAGCGATATGGCATGCTATCCCTTGTCGTTTACGCTGCCTATTTTGATCTCACGAAACGACGCCTTAATGCGCATTCTATCCCTCTAGGGCTGTTAAATTACCGCTTTTCATCTTCTATCTCTTATTTTTAATTCTCTACTTCTAAATTTTCAGCCAAATCGGTCCACGGGAAGAGAGAAGGTTGTACATAGAAGCCCCGCGTCTGCGTAACAAACGGACAAACGTTTTATTTCTTTTATATAGTTAGATATTTCGATCGGCTTTTAAAAATTATTATCATTTCCCTCCATTTTCACCTTTAAAAAGTGCGCTTTAACCGAGATTCCTTTTTTCAAGAAAAAAGAGAGAAAATCGGTGAAAGTGGATGAGATGACCTTAAAAAAAAGATGTCCTATCTCGACGAAAACCAACACGAAAACGGGATCTCTCCCTAAAAAACATTGACGCCTTTTGAAGCTTCGAGAAAACAATTAACGAATCTTTTTCACAAAAATGAGCCGATTTTCTCAAAAAAACCATTTAATTTTTTGATTTCGACGTTTTCAATCGAGTAAACGAGCTAATTTTTAAGCTAAATTTGATGGAAATTCAAAAAAAAAAGAATGATTTTCGTGAAAAATCCAGGGAAAAGTCGTATTTTTGAAAAAAATGGGCTTAGTTTTGCAAAAAAAAAAAGAATGATTTTCGTGAAAAATCCAGCGAAAAGTCGTATTTTTGAAAAAAATGGGCTTAGTTTTGCAAAAAAAAAGGATTCGTCGAATTCTCTACTATGTTTAACCGCTAGAAATAGCCCAAATGATCTCTTGCATTGAATTCTATTTCGTGAATAATCGCAAAAGTTTAGCTCTTTTATAGGCTTTGAGTGTCCCCCTTTGAATTGTTAGTTTTTAGTCTTTTTCTCAAAAACTAGTAGATGATTCTGAGAGTTCAAAATACCATTTGATAGCAAATTTTTTTGCGCGTCTTTTGAAATCTAAATCATTGCGAATGGCTTATTGGATGACGAGAAAATGTCTAAAATGTAAAGTGGGAGAGTACTCTCTCTAAATTATCCTATTTATTTACTAGTTTTTGAGAAAAGGACTAAAAACTGAAAATTTAGTGAGGGGACACTCGAAAACTAGAAATTTTTTACAATTTTAACACTTTTAAAGCCTTCTAAGCTTTCAGCGTATTTGTTTTTTTGTGTTTTTTCATGTTATTGAAGCATTTTACTCAATTTTTCATTTCCAGATGAGCGATTGATCAAAAAGAAAAGCAAAATAGAGCAAATGGTGTCCGTCGATTTGTATACTCTATTCGACAATTTCGTCACCGCCAACAATTTCAAGCAAATCCTTCACACGTTTTACCTCATTTGCACCCAGCTCGACCTCGATCCAACCGACTCGAAGCGTGTTTATGAAGAGTGCGTTTGCTTTTTGGTGCTAATACACTTAGGAGGTCGAATTTGGGTACTCTTTTAGTTTCCTTTTAGTCCTCTTTTAGTCTTCTTTTAGTCTTCTTTTAGTCTTCTTTTAGTCTTCTTTTAGTCTTCTTTTAGTCTTCTTTTAGTCTTCTTTTAGTCTTCTTTTAGTCCCCCAAACATCAGCAATTTAGTACAACGTTACCACGTACTACGTGGTTGGGCGGGGGAAAAAATATTTTTTTTTTTTTTTGTTTTGCCTATACCGGTCAATTTAAGTTAGAAAATGAATATTTAGTGGTTAAAAATGTTTTAGCTCTAGTTTTGACCTTAAAAAGTGCCTTCAATAGTCGATAGCTTGGGCAAAAAAAGGGGGGGACAAATCAAAAAAGTACCCAAATTCACGTTCAAGCTCTTTAGCTCATTTTCTTTTAGCTTTTTCATGCTTGTAACTTGAAATCAATCTTGTAACATTCTTATTGTTAGCCCGACCTTGGAATTATAAAACATCTACACGCGTATTGCTCTCTTCATAAATTAGAGATTTAACAAAACTCTTTATGTCACTTAGCTTTATTGAATTTCTAATTTATGAAGAGATCAATACGCATGCAGATGTTGTATAATGCCAAGGTCGGGCTAACAGTAAGAATGTTACTTAACTACATACATAGCTATGTTTCACGGTTTAGAGAAGAAAATGAGTTAAAGAGCTTTGAATACGAATTTGACTCTGTAAGTGCATTGGCATTTTGATGCAGAGCTGTTTCAAAAAGAACTTTTGACCGGCTTGGCCTAAAATTTTAAACGAAAGGCCACGCATTTCCTGCTGTTTCCCATATAGTCAAAGACAAAGGAGATAAAGGACCGTGGCTTGACGTGGCTTTGAAATCTTCGAGTTTAAAACAGCATTGTAATGTCCTTTAAAGTTTAGTTTAGAGTCTAAACATTAAACATTATCCAAATGCAAATCTATTTGCTCAAAATCTCTGCTTATTTTCCTCGTTTCAGATTACGAAAGGAGATCAACGATTGGAGGGCGCAAAAGTTGTGGAAACTGTTGGACAAGAAATGGACACAAACCGAGTACCGGAGTCAAAAGCTGCCAATCGACTCAACGTTTTGATCATTGGAGCCGGTGAGTGGAGTGAAAAGAAAGTAAACTTTCGGTAGATTATCCGCACCATTTGTCACTTTGGTCGTAGAATATAAAATTCTAGGTAAAACACGGGGGATTTTTGTCGTCAACCCTTTGGAGAATAGAATTTAGGGGAAAATTTGAAGATCTTCTAGTTTCTTAAGTCTAAAGGCTTACACTACACGTTTCTTACAAGAAACCTATTTTTAAAACTCGGGCATTTTGCACTTTTAACTTCTATAATGTTTTAGGACCATGTGGACTTCGGACGGCGATCGAGTGCGCTCTTCTGGGATCGCGGGTTGTGCTCATCGAGCAACGGGACAAATTTAGGTAGCTTTTTGACATGCTTAGACAGCTAGAGAGTTTGTAAACCGTTTAAAAAACCCATTGATTTGTCTCAATCGATTCTAGGATAAAAAGAAGTTAGGTGTCAAAACCAATGCCATCTTTAAAAGGACTCAATTGAAGCCAAACTTTATGCAGACGGATATTTTTATTCCTTTACTTGAGCTTGAGTTTTGAGGCAGAATGCTGAGTTTTCGCAGTAGCTTTTTAGATCCTTCACTTGCATTGTCGCAAATTTTCAGCTATGTACCCTCTTTTTTTTAGTCGAAACAACGTGTTACATCTTTGGGAGTTCGTCATTCATGATCTGAAGTCCTTTGGCGCGAAGATTTTCTACCCAAAGTTCTGCACGGGAAGCATCGAGCATATTAGTGAGTTTTCCACAAGCATAAGCTTCAAAATTTTGTTGAAATCAGAAAACGTGTATGTTTGGGGCAGAACTTTGCGTCTAAAAGACTTTTAAAGCACAACTTTTGTTAGATAACAATTGTCGAAAATTCTTTTTCAGGTATTCGCCAAATGCAGTGCATCCTGCTTAAAGTCGCCCTTTGTTACGGTGTCCAAGTGTATGAGGGTGTCACCTACAAGGATCTTCTCACGCCGCAACCAAGATTCGACAAGAATGAAACTTGTGGGTTTTTTGCAAAGCAAACGATGCACCAAACTGATTAATTTCGGGCTAAGATCACTGTATAAATTCAGGCTACGCTATATTTTAATACAAATTTGATTAAAACAAGCCCTTTTGCCAGCTTTTACGTTAAAATAGTTGCATCAGACTTTTCTTCATTTTTTCTATTTCAGACTCGGGTTTCCGTGCCTCACTTGAACCAGCCGATCACCTACTTGGCGATTACGAATTCGACGTGCTGATTGGAGCCGATGGGAAAAGAAACACCATAAAAGGTATGCAATTAAAAATATTTTAGACCCATTTATGTCAAACTCATAAATGATTGTAGTACCAAGCCTAGCATATTGTGTTTGCATTTCAAGTGTATAATCTTTGATTTCAGGATTCTCACGTGACGAGATGCGCGGAAAATTGGCAATCGGTTGGTAATGTTGTGCACAATGTCATGCACAACTTTTATTTGCTTATATTTCTTCGTTAAAGTTTGAGGTTTTAAGTTTCGAAGATTGTTCAAAGATTCTTTGTTCTTTTTACTAACCGATAAATTTCAGGAATCACGGCCAATTTCGTGAATCGACATACGGCTGCCGAAGAAAGAGTGCCCGAAATAAGGTGAGAAAAGAAAATTTGTCGACAAAAAGTGGCCAAGAAAGATTTCGGGAACAATATTCTTGGCTTGGCTTGTTTATTGACTAGCTGTGAGCCAAACCACCGCTACAATAAGCTTATCTATTGTGCTTGCTTGTTGGGAAATCCTAGCTGAATGTTTAAAAGATTCGCGATGATACCTCAGCTAGTCTCTGGGATCCACTCGATCCACCGGTGGACTGAAATCGGAAAAAAGATAGTTTCTGGTAAACGGATTTTTCAAGTTGCGCACCACGATGTTTTTGGGGTGCTGAGTCTAAATTAGGCTTCGGTTTTTTTGCAAAAGCGCTTTGTTTCAGCGGCTCAAAGTAGGACTCTGGAACATTCCTATTTTAAGAACAGCTAGCAAAACTGGAAAGTTGTATCTCGGTAGCTCACCTTATTGGTAAAATTTATTTTTTTTTAGCGGTGTCGCCTACATCTTTAATCAGGCGTTCTTCAAGGAAATGCACGCAACAACGGGAGTCGATCTTGAAAACATTGTCTACTATAAGGTGGAGGTTTAAGAGCATTTCAATCAATTTAGTTTTTCAGGATGAAACTCACTACTTTGTGATGTGCGCGAAGAAGCAGAGTCTGCTCGAGCAGGGCGTCATTTTGAAGGTAGCATCGCTAAATTCTCCTCGAAATACCCCTTTTCTAGGATTGCGAAGACGTGAACGTGTTGTTGTCGGCGGAAAATGTGAACAAAGAGCAACTCTGCCGGTACGCCTACTCGGCAGCGCAATTCGCGACAAATGGTGAGCGCATTTTGTTGAGATTTCATTCGGTTGTAGTGATTTCGATTGTTGTTAAAAGTAGAGTAATCACTAGCAATTTGACATCACCTTATTCTTTAACTTTACCTGAATTTTTCTTGAAAAATTTAGGCAAACTACCGATCCTGGACTACGCGACAAATCACAAGAGTCAGCCCGACATTGCAATGTTCGATTTCACGTCGCTTTACTCAAGGTTTTTTTTTTCTGAAAAAATTCAAAATCCCAATGTTTTCCTTTAGTAAGTACAGCGTTCGACTAATTGAGCGAAACAAACGACGACTTTTGCTGGGAATCGTTGGCGATAGCTTGCATGAGGTGTGTTTTAAGGCTAAAAACGAATAAAGTTGATCTAATTTCAGCCATTTTGGCCGACCGGCTCTGGATGTGCTCGCGGATTTCTTGGTGTCATGGACACGGCGTGGTTGATCAAGGAGTACGGGATGAACGAACGGGGTACTGTTGTTTAAAGAATACTCCTAAATTGACAATCTGTCCTGATTTGGACGAGTTTTTGCTCTGGTTTGCCCTGACAATTTTTTTAGAGTTTTAATCAGGAGCCGAATTCTGTCCTTTTCACTCCATTTGCAGAGAAAACCTACAAACGCATTTAATCTTAGAGTATGTGTATAACTTTTTTCAGAACCCCTTCAACTTATCGCCGAACGTGAAAGCATTTATCGGTTGTTGGCTCAAGTGAGATCCTTTGGTTTACAAGCACATATCTGTTAATTATTTCAGGTCACCAAGGACAATCTGCACAAACAGTTGACGAAATTCACGATCGACCCGAAAACCCGTTATGTGTCCTTGGAAATAACGATGCGACCGGAGGATGTTGTGGAAATCGTGGACTCTGATGCTCCGAGTAAGTTAGAAATCAATATTAATAAAGACTTTGCTTGATGACTTAGGCCTTAGGCCGTTAAAGAGCTGTTTAGTCATAAAATTTGATTGAATTGGTGTAGTCATCATTTTTTAGGATCGATCTACCACCGGCAACCCCATCCGCGGCTCGACGCACACGAGCATCCGGAAAGAATGAAATACGCGGCGTGGAGGTGAAAAACTAAAGTGTTGACGAGAAGCTAAATTTCTCCACTTCAGATTCCTGACCCATGCTCTGACACCGTACAAGCTGAAGCTCTACGATATGAACACGTCGTGGAACGACGGGATGGCGCTGGCTGCATTGGTGGCGAAATTTCGACCCGAATGCTTGGATTATTTTAACGTGTTGAGCTCGAGCGAACGGCCAAAGGATCGCTTGGAAGTGAGTGGGGGAGAAAATTAGGTTAAAAATGAAGGCAGATGACTGATTTGGCTCTTCTTGTACTTAGATATTGTATAATGTGGGGAATTTTTTTACTGAACAGGCTAATATCATCTGATCTTTTTAGATGGTCTTCTCGCGAGTCCGTGAACACTTGGAGATCGCCGAGCCGTGCACCCCTGAACAATGGCCAAGATTGAGTGAAGAGTTGAAGGTAAAGCGTAAAGCGTATTCTACTTTTCAATCTTGTTTTTTTAGTTGGACTACATTTACGCGTTGATCGGTCTCATCAAATCGGATATGTACCGGGTGCGCTCGATTTTGATCACACCGCGGAGCGCCGCCAGTAAACGACCGAAACCGATGCCCACAAAGGTATTTGCGTCTTTCATTGAATATGGTTCTTGTGGCAGTTAAAAACTGTTGATTACACAATATTTTCATTTCGTGAGATCAAAAACGTGACCGAGTGATCAAGTCTGCTTCAGAAATTTAGAAATTTTCCTTGAAACTGTCCTCCTACCTGACAGAGCCAATGAAAGTGTCAGAAACTTTGCTCAACGATCAACTTTTGCTTTTGACTTTGAAATTGAACTTTAAATCTTGGGGCTTGGTTTTAACTTGTAATCCAGAAAATTTTTAAAGAAAACCCATTAAAATGGAACAAGTCACAGACGAGGGCGAATGTGTAAGTGCATGAAGATTTGCGATTCAGAGAGTTTTTGATTTTATTAGTTTTCACTAATTTATCGATTTTCAACTAACACCTTATTCGGTACTTTGGCTTATTTTCCACTTTTCCAGTTCGACACATCAAAAGCGAAGAAGTCGGCGGTGATCGAGAATCTTCACGGGCAAATCAAAGCCTTTTACGAAAGAGGGAAACCCACCGATCAGCCAACGCCGCCACCGTTGAGGAGACAATTGGAGGTGTGGTTTGATTAGGCAAAGGAATACATTTGATGTGATACGCTTCAAAATTTGATCTTTAGCATTTACCCAGCATTGAAGAACCCACGGACGATTCACGATATCTCACCAAAAAGCCGCAGGTATCTTGTTTGAATGAAAAGATAAGAATTTCTGTTTTTAGGTGAGTGCCCTTGATCCGGCTCTTGTTGGACGCGTCGAAAAGTTTATCACCGGCAAGCGTGAGGAAAATAAGGTTAGAGCTTTTGTTGTTGAAAGAGAACATTTTTGTTTTAGGCAAAGATTAGTGTTGAAGAGGTGGAACAAGTCGAGATTCAGCGACAAGAAGTGAGAGAAGTTGTGGTTGATGAGGGACAACAACTGGCAAACATCAGCGGTCAAGAGGAAAAGGTTGGTTGAAGGGTTTAGCGGAAAATTGGGTACTTGGCATTTCAAGACTGGAAATCAGACTCTAAAGATCATTTTAGTTGATTCGCGTCTTTGCACTCAATCGCCTAGTTTAGATTCCGCAACTGCCCGAACCCGATTCACAATCACCATCGTTGACGTTGGTTACACGACGACAAGACGGATCGGTGGTGATGCGGGTGAGTGGGGAAAAAGAGAAGCTTGCATAGGAGAACAGTCTATGTAAATCGATAATGATTCATTGTCTTTAGCCCGTTGCCCCCGTACAACCAAAGCGTCAAGTGCACTCGATGCCCGATGTCGACGCGTTGTACGATAGTGTCAATCCAAGGCGACAAAACACGTGTCAATTATGCAATGAGGTAGGTTTTGATGGCTTAAACGCTATTTAAATTCTACTTTTCAAATCTCATTGCTTCAGGTGGTTTTCTTGGCCGAACGAATGCAAGTCGAATCGATGTACGTTCATCGGGGATGCTTCAAATGCTCGTTTTGCAGTCAACCGCTTCGTTTGGGCGAGTGTGGACAGGATCGCGAGTTAGACAAGATCGAGAATTACCGCAATAAGTGAGTTGTTAGCTTGAAATTTTTATGCTCATTGTTTCAGGTTTTTCTGCAAAACGCATCTCCGTTTACCGCTTCGGGAAAAGATCGGAAGAATCGAGTATACGAAGAAAAAGGCGTTGGCTAAACAGGCTTCACAAGACGAAGGTAAGCTTTGAAAAGGGGTGATTCGGTGAGAATTTGAATATATTTTACTGGATGGTGACTAACTAAGAACCAGTGAAACGAAAAATCTCAGGTCTAAAGCCTCTTCCAATACTTTTCTTTCAGGTGCCTCATCGGACTCATCAAAGGGGAATCTCAGCGAATCACCCGCTCAAATCATCAATCGTTTCCCCCTGCAAGCACTCCCATCACCGATTCTCCCAATTCGTGTCCCAGCGTGCCCACCAAAAAACAGCCTCATCGTCGAACATGTTACACTACTATGGATCCGATCAGAGAAGGTACCATTATCGGCACTTAAATATAGCCATTTTCTCGTTTAGACTACAAGACTTGGTGTTGCCAAACGCGAAACGTGTGCTCACGTCGCCGGTGGATTCGGATCAAAATGGCCTCCTCTCGACACCCGAAAGAGCCGCCTTTGACGCGCAACAAGAAAGGCCGAAATTCATTAAAGTAGGGATTTTTTTGTTTGTAACTTGATAAATGTACGGTGTTTAGAAAGCCGTTGACATCGACAGTGAATCTGAAGAAGAGGGAACGAGCGGGAGTAATAGTTCAAGGGAAAGAACCGGATCGTCGAGTTGTAGGTTTTTGGGAACATTTATAGTCAATTTGATTCAACACTCGCCACAAGTTGGATTTCAAAATGCAGCATTTTTCATTTAAATTTCATTGTTTAGGCTATTACTCATCAAAAGAGGAGACGGACAGCTCGCTGCGATCCCGCTCGAATACACAAGACGTCGATTTAAATCAGACTTTCATCGACGACGAGGGGAATCACGATGAATCGCTGTCGGATGAGGAGGATAATTTCGCGGAAGAGGATTTACAGGTGGATTTAGGTTGCAATTCAGTCGTCTACTCATGAATACCAACAATCTTTGGACTAAGTCACCCGTTGGTTGAGCTAATTACTCATTTGGTTCATCATTCGCTTTAACAAGTGTAACTTTAGGAACTCGAGAAGACCGTTTTGGAGATCACCGAGCAAAATCCGAGCAATAAGATTGAGGAGTCGATCGTGGGTTTCTGTTTTGTCATTATTGAAATTCTAGGGCAACGTTTACTGGTATCTTTTAGGCTCGATCGGTTTTGGAGCGAATAAACAGCCGCCGGCGTGAGTCGATACGACACGAAAGCATACGCCATACGGCGACGAATTTCAATCAAATGGTTGGGTCTCTTTTGTTTAATCTTAGATTAATTTTTTTAGGGAGCCGACACGTCGACGAAAGTTGATCAACCCGGGCATCGATCCGAATCCACTTTAATGAGAGGAGTTGGTTTTTGAATTTTTCAAGAAAAGAAATGGGTTAAGCACTCGTTTCAGTGACAATTGCAAGTTTGTCATTGAAAAAATGTGTAATTTAGTCATCCGTTGATTTGGATCGTTTACGAGAAGAGGCGAGAAGGAGAGCCCGAATGAAAAGCGATGAGCAGCTGGGGATTTGTGAGTTTCGAAGACGAGCTTGTAGAAATTAGTTGTTACCTAACATACTTTCACCAACACTTAAATTTTAGTGAACACGCCGTTGAGTCGCTCAAAACCCGCAGCCCACCACCGACACTATTTGGTCGAGATCGGGCGGCGACAACGGGACAATTGGATGACTCGGCTCAACTGCCCACAATGCTCAACCAAGTCGATCTGCGGAGGCAGGCTGTACGTTTTTTGTCACTGTAACTCTATAGGAGAATTTCAGCTATGCTCTTGCTTTCTTAATTGATTCTTTTCAGTTCTCGGCTTCTCGCGCGGACACGGCTCCCGAAAGTGACCTCATGGCGCCACCATTACCCGCCAGAACTCCGCCGAAACAAACATTTTACGGTAGTTTTTTTTAATCAAAACAAATATCGTTGTGTTTAGGTTTCCTTTCACCGAATTTACAACACCGAAGCACCACCACGACGGCTTTGACGGAAAGCGCTGAAAAAATTAAAGGTAATCTTATTTGAAAATGAGTAAAGATAGTTTTTTTCAGAGCCAATCCAATCGGAAAGCTCAAAAGAGAACGGTTTGCGCGCGCGGAACTCAATCTGGGATCAATTGCGCGGGCAACGCAATCACTCGCCGATTGGTGAGTGCTTGAGATGAGATAATGCTTAGGCTTAGGATCAAGTTATGCCGTGATTCGATTTGAATCCATCCACTAAGTTTCCCCAATTTAGCCCCAATTGAAGCGTTTCGTGGAGTGCCGCTTGCATCGCCAAGTCTTGTCATCAATTCCGGATCATGTCCCCTTGTGCTGCTGTTGCCCCATCGCCCCGACCACCAGCGACGACCATCGCAAAAACGACAGGTACTTAAAGAGGGGATTTCGAACGACAGATTATCTTTTTTGATCCTTATTTGTTTACGGATTTAGTTTTTTTTTAGTTACCACTTTAGAAACAAAAAGCTTTTTTTTAGTTACCAACAATAAGAATCTGTAAAAAAAAATTCACTTGACTCGGCCTTTGGGTGTCAGTGCCGACACAAGGCATTGAGCCACAAAGATCCTTCTAAACGCATTGCACACTACTGGTTTACACTAGCAGCCGGTATTCTTTGGTTTTTTGGCTCTGGTTGGCTCTACTTTTTAGCGCTAATTGGCTAAATAGATATGTAAATGCAGGATCTCGAGTCAACTATTTGTTTTCAGTCTTTGTTCCCGGCATTCCACCGATGCCAACCGCTGCCGGACAATCGATCGCTTCACTGAGTGCTTCATCGTCGGTTGCTGCCGACGTGCCAACACTGGCGCCAAGTGATCGCAATTTACGCTTCATCCAGAAGAGGTTTGTGTGATGTACTTCTAAGCTTGGAAAATGTGAATTTGATTGAAATTCTAAGCGTAATTTGATCTGCTTAAAATGAATGTAATTTCCAAATTTAGGGGCGAGAAGATTCGCCGACAACACGAAGAGGACCGACTCCGAACGGCGCAAGATCTGCAACGACAACTCGACGAATCAGAGACCCGCTTGGAAGCGATTGAGCGACGGGGACGGGGTTGTCGAGGCGAATCTCAACTCGGGTGCGTGTTCGTTTGGAATTTGAATACTTGGATATAATGTACAGCATAAAAAACGTGATCAAGTTAAAAATACAGCTAAATCTCTAGTGAACTCTTTGAGTAGACGAAGATCAACGTACTGAAATAATCGCGAGAATAGTCGATTTTTTCAGGATCCCTTTCACAAGTTACTGACGAGATTTGACTGTATTAGCGGCTCATTTTGCAAAATTCTTTTCTGTTTTCTCAAGGATCTCACCTATCCTTTTAGATCCAACAAGTGTTGATCTGCTCTCTGAATGGCGTTCCCTTGTTCAAGAAAAACAAATCTTGACTGATCGCGAAAAAGATCTCCAGCTAAAGGCGAAAGAAGTACGATTGGAGCATCGGTGAGGGGCTTTTTGAATCTTTAAATAACTACTTGGTGTCCAATCTGAGTCGATGTCTTTGGTAGAGTAGCCCAAATAGTGTTTAGACAGTACGCATTTGCTCGAAAACGCATTCTCTCACCAAAAGATGTGTGTAACAGCTTAATCGAAGTCAAATTATTTCAAATTTACGTTGAGTTCAAAAATCGACATGATTTTAAAATTCCTTCGACAGGTTTTTCAGAATAAACTTCCAGTCTAATTTTACTATAGGGAATTTACATTGGCAGCCAAATATGTCAACGAAAATAAAGAATTTTCACAAACCCTGTAGAAGTTTGTTGAAGATAATCGTTCGGAACATTGTAACACCAAAACCATTGAATTTGGTTGAATTTGAAGAAAGTTACTACGTTTTGTAGAAAATTAAAGGGTGAGGGCGATAAAAATGCGCGGCCCTTTATACTCCGGCAGCAGGCTACGTAGTTATGCCACCCTTTAGAGGATGGAACTGAGTTTTAGACTGTGGCAATTACAAAACGTAATAACTTTCTACAAATTCAATGGTTTTGGTGTTCAAATGTTCAGAACGATTATGTTCATCAGACGTAAAACTCTGAGTCGATCCACGCAACTTTTGGTTAGAGAACGCGTTTTTTGGTTGTTTCGCGCGGATGTGCAGCACCCAATTATCACCAAATTTTTAAAAATACGGTAATATAGCAAATACAGTATACAATAAATACAGTTTACAATAACCATTTTGATGTTTGACAGTGAATAACGTGTATTTTCAGCTATCGAGAATTGGACGCGCTCATCAACCAGCAAAACGATTTGAAACGAGGCAACGACGATGACGATGAAAAGGTGAACATTGTGGGATTTCAATTTTTCTACTGATTTTTTCCAGGCTTCCCTGCTTCGCGAAATGCTTTCGATTATCGATCAACGGAAAGAGCTGAAACGGGAATTGGACGAGACGAATGTGACGTGGAGGAGGCGAAAAGTGAAACAATCAGGTGAGGGCGAAAGGGGAAGAGAGTGATGAGCAAAGCACGCTTTTAATTTCAAAGTATGCAAACTTCGATAGTTTGAGTTCAATCTTCAATAGTTTTTGCGTGATTTCCCTGATCGCATACCGTGTTTCTTCTAATAGAAGTGCATTTAAAAAAGATCATTCATTTCACTTTCTTTTTTTCAGATTCGACTTCTCATCCATCTCGGGCCACCACCCACACAGCTGCCGTCGATTATCGTCAATGCAATCCGGTCTTTCTTTGCATATGATTTCATTGCATTAATTAACTTGTGGATTTTTAAAAAATTAGGAACTTAACTTGTTTTTTGTTTTCCCATTATCCGGTGCAATTTCTTGTCCGAAAGTTCAAAAAATTTTGTGTAAATTCCGAAAACGATTCTGTGTTTTGCTCATTTTGTGGTTTTTGCCGGCTAGTCAATTTTTCCCATTTCGCAATAATATCTTAGAGTTTTTATCGTTTGTTTCTTTGTGAGATTTCTTAACCGATAATCCAAAACTAAACTTTCGTCCGATTAAAGTTTTATCATCCATCATCGTGTATAGCCTTCAATTTTTATGTCTGTGTGTTCACTTTTCGGGGTACTTATGTCTGACTTTTGATGTTAAACCGTGTGTTAAACGTCTAAGGTTTAATTGTCCTAATTTCGAGAGGAGGCAATAAATGTGTCATTTGTTTTTTCTTCACCAGTCACACTTGAAGCAAGGGGGGATTTGGATAGGACTTGCTTCGAGTTGTCAAATCGAAATATCCTGACTAGCTTTTTTAAGTGTTTTAGTCAAAATCTCGACGAATTTTGGTCAAAAGCAATTTTCAGGTATCGGGAACGGTCCCTAATAGTTGGAAATTAGATGCCAGGCTACCCTGCGGTGCTTCTACAGTACCCCAGGCGGACCCTGATTGTCATACAGGACTCCTAAACTCATGTGTGCCCCTGAATGCGCTACATGGACTCATACAGTGTGTCTGGCCGTTATACAGTACCCCTGGGATGCTATGTACAGTTTCCCTGGGCACTGTAATGACCAAGGGTACCCTGGTGTATCGCTACAATACTAAAATTATGGGAAATCCTGGCGAATACTGATATGAATGCCTTGAAAATCGAAAAATTTCACGGTGTACCTTCCAGATAGGAAAAGAAACGATAAAAAAAAATTTTGTTGTTGATCATGTGCTTTTTTGCGATTTTAGTGACTCGACACAACCCAATTCCTCCCCAAAAAATAATCAATCGCTATACCAAAAATTTCACCAGAAAAGTCACCTGTTTCGGTGATTTCCCGGAATTTATGGGTGTCCCCTTTAGCGCAAACTCAAAGAGAAATTTCTCGCTTCTGTTTTACCTCACTCAAACCCATTCTCCCCCCTGCCATTCGTGTTCTTCATTGAAATCAAATCCTTTCGATAACTTTATGGCCTTGATTTTTGTGAAACTCTTCTAGTTGGATGTCACACTATGGATTTGAGACACTTTTAAGCTTTCAGCAAACTTTTTAAAAGAATGTCGAAATGGTGGACGAAAGCTTTCGACAAAATAACTCCTCCCCTAATAGAGTTGGGGAATTAGTTTTGAGAGATTTTAATGATCTGGATAGCACAGTAGATTTTGGCTTTTGATTTGAGGAGAAAATTTGATTTCTCGATTTTTGTTATTTTTGTTATTTTTTTCATTTTTGTCATTTTTGTCATTTTTGTCAATAATCCATTTCCTTATTAATTTTCCTTTTTTTTCTTTCTTTTATCCCTTTCAGCTAGCATTTTGAAAATGATTTTGCAAAGAAATTCACGAAAATTTTTTTATTTAAACCCTTTAGAGACATTTTAGAAGACATTTTATGAGTCGAGCTCTTCTCGTTTTCCCTTTTTTGAGCGCTGTCCTTGGTGCACCGATTCCGGACAGAAATGAGGTAACACTTTAGCCTATTTATAGCCAAGAAAACCCTTTACAGCTGATTGCCGGCGAAGCACTGGACGAGGCGCTTGCCGCTCGTGGCGCTCAATCGTTGGAGATCATTCCCGAGGCACTTCCCCTTCAATATGCTCCTCGTCTAACGACAACGAGTCCGCCGAATGTGATTTCTCTTCAATCTGGAATGCACACAAGCCCGACGAGTGCTTTAAATGCGATTTCACTCAAAGCTGCACCATATCCAAGTCCGACGATTGATGGAGCGGAGATTGGTGGAGCGACGATTGGTGGAGCGGAGATTTCGAATTCTTTCGCTCAATTGCTTTCTACTGTAATGCCGATTTCGCAGATTTCGCAAAAATTTGATGAAAAAGCGTTTTTTGGAGTGAATGACGAGGAGAATTTGAAGAAAGACCGCAAAGTGGTCGAGGTGACGAAAAGCAAAACAATGACAGGGAAACAGGAACAGGAAAACGACGAAGAAACCGAAGAGATCGGGGAAATCGACACGGAAACCGATTTCGCGGAAAATGACGAAATCGGCACCACCATTGGCACGATGAGGCGGAAAACGAAAACCAGTGAGTTTTTTTTGGGTGAAAGGCTTTCTCGGCTTTTTGCCCAGTGCACCAGATGGGCTTTGTTTTGGGGTTTACGGTGGAGGGTAAAGAGTGCACAGGGCACAGCTTTGAAGCCGAGGCTTTTGCTTGGCTTTGCTGAGTAGTTCTTGATTTTTTTCTTGATTTTATCTCGATTTTTTTAGAGGATCCGATTACCGAGCTGCCCGCGCAATTCGTCGAAATGGGTAACGCGGTCGGGATAAGGGAAACAGCAGGTATATCTCAAAAGATCACTCATGGGTAAGGTTTTTTTTACTCTCAAACAAACGCTCATATCTTGCCACTAATACGTTTGTTTTTGCTCGCTTTGGTATCAAATTAAAGTAGAGAGAATGAGTGATATTTTGAGATATAAAACTTATTTTCAGCATTAACCAGCGCTTAGGAAAACTGATTGAAAAGTGACAAAAAAAACCGATTTTTCATCATTTTTTAATCATTCAAAACCACTCATATCTCAGCACCGGTACGTTTATCTCTATTTGCTTTGGTATCAAATTAAAGTAGAGAGAATGAGTGATATTTTGAGATATAAAACTCTTTCTAGCATTAACCAAAGCTTAGAAAAAACTGATTGAAAAGTGACAAAAAAGCTGATTTTTCATCGCTTTTCAATCAGTTTTTCTAAGCACTGGTTAATGCTAGAAATGAGTTTTATATCTCAAAATATCACTCATTCTCTCTACTTTAATTTGCTACCAAAGCGAGCAAGAACAAACGTACCGGTGCTGAGATATGAGTGGTTTTGAATGGTTGAAAAGTGACAAAAAAAAAAGCTCATTTTTCATCATTTTTCAATCATATTTTTCTAAGCGCTGGTGTAATGCTAGAAATGAGTTTTATATCTCAAAATATCACCCATGGGTAACGCGGTCGGGATAAGGGAAACAGCCGGTCGGTTTTTTTTAAAATACCGAAATTTTAGTTTAAAGTCGCTTTAATAAAAAGTTTTCATTTAAAAAGTCGCTTTTTTTAAAAGAGGAAATCTTTAAATGCGTTAAATACGAAATTCGTGTTCACCGTACTCGATTACCCTAGAAGAGTCAAAAGCTGAACACATTCAACTTGAAGATTAGATCAAGAGATCTAGATTTCTAGAAGAAAGGATGGTCAGGGATTACTGTAAAACTATGATGAGGTTATTGTAGGCTCAGGGTTACTGTAGCGACTTTAGAGAAGGGAAAAGCTTAAAGATCTGATTGTCTAGAAGAAAGGATGGTCAGGGATTACTGTAAAGCTATGATGAGGTTATTGTAGGCTCAGGGTTACTGTAGCGACGATAGGAAAGGGAAAAGCTTGAAGATCTGATTGTCTAGAAGAAAGGATGCTTAGGGATTACTGTAAAGCTATGATGGGGTTATTGTAGAGTCGCTGAGGGTTACTGTAGCGACCTTAGAGAAGGGAAAAGCTTAAAGATCTAGATGTTTAGGAGAAAAGATGGTTAGGGATTACTGTAAAGTTATGATGTTATTGTAGAGTCGCTGTGGGTTACTGTAACGACCTTAGAGAAGGGAAAAGCTTAAAGATCTGATTGTCTAGAAGAAAGGATGCTTAGGATTACTGTAAAGCTATGATGAGGTTATTGTAGGCTCAGGGTTACTGTAGCGACTTTAGAGAAGGGAAAAGCTTAAAGATCTAGTTATCTATGGAGAAAGGGTTAGGTAGATTTCGTAGAATTTCGAAAAGATTGCGGTGGGGCTACGGTAGAGTAAAGATAGGTCAGGGATTACTGTAAAGCTAGGATAAGGCTATTGTAGAGCCATTGAGGGTTACTGTAGCCATTGAGGGTTACTGTAGTCGAAGAAAATGTATGCCTTTTTTTCAGAAGAGATTCTGCAGTCACCGACGAGTTCGATGATCGACGAGTTGTCATCATTACCCACAAATCCTACCGTAATCCGGGTAAGCGTAAAGTCACGTAGACAACTGTTAATGCAAATTTAAAGAAAAATTCAAAACAATAACACCGTAAAAGCTCTCAAAAAACGACCCTCTATAGGAGCGTCGCGTCGTCTAAGTTGACTCACAAACAAACGCTCATATCTTGACATTAATACGTTTGTTTTTCCTCGCTTTAGTAGCAAATTAAAGCAGAGAAAATGAGTGATATTTTGAGATATAAAACTTATTTCTAGCATTAACCAAAGCTGAGAAAAATCTGATTGAAAAGTGACAAAAAAAAACTGATTTTTCATCATTTTTCAATCATTCAAAACCACTCATATCTCAGCACCGGGTACGTTTATCTCTATTTGCTTTGGTATCAGAATTAAAGTAGAGAAAATTAGTGATATTTTGAGATATAAAACTTATTTCTAGCATTAACCAGCGTTTAGAAAAATATGATTGAAAAATAATGAAAAATCAGCTTTTTTTTGCCAATTTTCAATCAGTTTTTTCTAGGCACTGGTTAATGCTAGAAATAAGTTTTATATCTCAAAATATCACTCATTCTCTCTACTTTAATTTGATACTAAAGCGAGCAAGAACAAACGTACCGGTGCTGAGATATGAGTGGTTTTGAATGGTTGAAAAGTGACAAAAAAAAGCTCATTTTTCAATCATATTTTTCTAAGCGCTGGTGTAATGCTAGAAATAAGTTTTATATCTCAAAATATCGCTCATTCTCTCTACTTTAATTTGATACTAAAGCGAGCAAAAACAAACGTACTAGTGGCAAGATGTGAGCGTTTGTTTGCGGAGTCAACTTAGAGGCTTTACGGTAGCTATTGAATAGCTCTAAAACTTTTCTTGAAAAGAAGCAATTTATCGAGTAATAGCTCTGATAACATTTCTAATAACAGTTCTTAACTTTACCATTAAAATGAATTAATCACAAATTCATTACGCTAAAGTCGCGAGTATAAGTTCTGTTTGGTTTTCGCATGCAAATTGACGGCTGTCTCTGCAAATTGACGGCTGTGCGAGGTCGAACCCCGCTGCAGCATAACTTTTTTGCTTTTTAAGAACAATAATAGAAGTAAATCTATTGAGGATTATAGCAATTTTATGCTGTTATTTGTTGCTGTTATTTGTTGCTCCGGGCGTGGCTCGGCGCGTCCGCCCTGCTCCTCTCCGGTGCTCAGTCTTATGGATCCCTCCCTGGCCTCTTCACCCGGCCAAAGTCCACGGCGACGGTCGAAAGAGATGCTTTCCAGCGTCTTCTTCAACACTATCGTCTGGATGTATCCATGCACATAACAATGGTGATAGGCTGCCAGCTAGCAATGGTGGTAGGCTGTCAGCTAGCAATCGTGGTAGGCTGTCAGCTAGCAATGGTGGTAGGCTGTCAGCTAGCAATGGTGATAGGCTGTCAGCTAGCAATCGTGGTAGGCTGTGACCCTGTAGTATCCCGCGCTCCAAGAACAATAATAAAAGTTTATATAACAATAAAAATGTATAAAAACCCAACAAAAAGAAATTCAAAGCAATTAAAGCGAATGTAAATTAAGGCAGAACTTATACTCGGATCAACTTATACTCGAGACTTTAGGGTAGATCACAAATTAATCAGATCACAAATTAATTAGAATTAATTAATCAAAAATTAATTAGAGAGAAAAGTAGATGCTGAATTATTTTAATAGCAAATAGAAAGGAAAACAAAACAAAAAAATGATTATGTTTATTTTGCAGAGTGATCAAATGGATCCGCTTGAGCTTTTCATGCGTTTTCTTGGCTTTTTTCTTATGAGTTTTACGGAATCGACTGAGAATGAGATTGGGGAAATGATGGAGATGAGGACAACTGAAGTGTTCATCACGATACCCATCACGGTGGAATCACCAATTCATCGTTCGTTTTACCGTAATCCCCCTAACAAATTCTAAGAGTCGGATTTCTCACGCTAAAATCCGTACTCTAACAAATTCTAAGAGCCGAATTTTCTTCCCAAAATCTTGTCAGTATCGATTTTTATCTCCTCAAGGGTTAAGGGCATTCTTTAGTCTATTTTTGGTTACTGTAAAGTCACTTGAGGATACGGTAGGATTGGGTACTGTAGAATTGATTGTGATGGGTTTGATGGGTTTAGGGTTACTGTAAAGTCACCGGAGGATACGGTAGGATTGGGTTACTGTAGAATTGATTGTGATGAGTTTAGGGTTGCTGTAAAGTCACTGGAGGATACGGTAGGGATTGGGTTACTGTGGAATTGATTGTGATGAGCTTAGGGGTTGCTGTAAAGTCACTGGTGGATACGGTAGGATTGGGTTACTGTAGAATTGATTGTGATGGGTTTAGGGTTACCGTGAAGCCATTTGGGGATACGGTAGGACTGGGTTACCGTAGAACTGATTGTCACAGCTTAGAGTTACTGTAAAAATGAGCGAGAACAACTGAATCGATTGTATCAATGAAAAGGAATGCTTTTGAAAGGATTGCCGTAATTAAAAGTGAGCAGTACGCAGAACTGTCCGAAGGGCCTTTAGATACGGATTATAGTAAGGGTTACGGTAAGGATTACGACAGGATCTTGACGGATTACCGTACTTCTTTCATCAGGTTACGCATAGGATTACTGTAGGCTAGGATCACTTGGTAGTTTGCTGCTACGTGTTGCTCCCTATTTTTCATCTTATCCTTTCGCTTTTCCTCTCCCCAAAATCCCCTTTGCATTCTCGAAGCCAAAAAGTGAATTAATTTCGCTAAAAAGAAAGGCAAGCAGAGGCAGGTAGGCAAGAGTGAAATTCAAAGGCAATTGCTTGGGAAACCTGATGAACCTGATGGAAAGCAGAGAGGCAAAGCAGAGGCAGGTAGGAAAGCAGAGGTAAGTCGAGGTAAGCAGAGGCAAGCAGGAGGGCAGGTAGGCAAGCGGAAATTAAAGGCAATTGCTTTGTGAAACCTGATGAACCCGATCAAAGATGAACTACGAGTAACCTGATGAAAGAAGTACCGTCAAAGATCCGTCAAAGATCCGTCACAGATCCAGCTCGTAATCCTGTCGTAATCCTGTCTAGTCCTTACCGTAACCCCTACCGTAATCCTAGAATAACCGAGAAAGGTAATTTGTTTGTGCTCTTCAGTCTCTCACCCTCGACGCCCCCTTCATCAACAACTCGACCAACAA